ATGGAGTTTTTACAACTGAACCTCCGTTATTTTCTATTATTCTTGTTCAGAATTTAATGTAGAACACGAAAATGACATTATTTACTCAAATCCATATACAGGTAATTGAGAAATCGTTATATTAAGTTTAAAAGCATGGTTATTTTTTAAAAACATAAAATAATTTTTTGTGAAGCTAATTTTTAGACTTGGAACATTTGATATGCATCATCACACTTCATTTACTTTGTACTTACACCAACAAATTTTTGTCACACTGAGTACCAATCACCCTGTAGCCTATATAGATTAAGCATGTGATATGTCATTGTCTTGTTTAACATTTTCTATCTTCCTATTGAAATAAGCTGTAACAGCCCTTTTTCACCCGAACTACTTCACCGATTTTTATGATTGAGGTGTAATTTTAAATCTTAAGATTCAGCGCAACACAAAATGGTAATTAAAACGATATTTTGATAAAGGGCTTCAAAAGTTTGACCCTTAAGCATTTGATTTATTTCCAGACAGTGATTTAAATGATTGACCAACTTTCACATACAGTAACAGCTACTCTGTAACCTTTACCGGGAGGCAGCGCAGGTGTTCAAATATTTTCAAACCCCGGCATTCCGAAACGGACCTGATAGCATTTCCTGTTCTTCCTTGGATTGTTGTTAATAGGTTTATGAAAGTATTCTAATTTTCTTAAGGGTTTGTCTGTCTACCTGATTGGCACAACATTTTCTTCATACTAGTGAATGCCCTTTTCTAAGAGTTTTTTCTCAGAAGTTTTAATATTAAGAAACCCCTTTTCTGCGACAAAATACTTGAAACTGTTTGCAATATTTTTAAACTATTACAGTTAGATATTCATCAAAATAAATTTAATTTTTTAACGTGCGCCTAAAATAAATGTACTTACTTTAAATTTTATACCATGATAGTGCATGTAATAAATTGCAAACCTTTGCTCATTGCATGGAAAGCTAAACATTGTACACCAAGCCATTTCAATCAACAATGATATATACCTAAACAAAATCATAAACATTTACACTAGGTGCAACTTTGTTAAACTAGGATTGTTTTCATGGCAGCGAAAGCCAGTTGAGTGGAGCGATCACGTTTCATGGTATTTAATAAAGCAATAAATAAACAAATTGTTATAGATATAATACAAAATACAACTATTTCATCAATTTAACGGTAGAAATTTAACATACATTTATTTTAGGCGCACATTAAAAAATCAAATTTAAAGGAAAGAAAATGTAATTTGGTCTTCCAGCATTTCGCTTAGAAGTTTTAATTATGTTCCATACTGATCATTGATGTCCCATCCTATATCATACGTTAATATCTGGTTGACCGAGCGGTGCTCGGGGGAAAATTAGATTTATCGGTTTGGATTTTTGAAATAAAGCATAGTTTATTCCATGAGCAATTTGTAATCAATTGCAATTGAGGCAACTTCAATTACACTTTATTTGTAACATTCCAAAACGGTATGAAATGGCTTACAGGCAGAAATTGAGATAAGACTTGTTTTGGCTTCTTTAATGTATAAAACGTAAAAATAACCAAAAAAGATCATAATTCTGAGCAATGTACAGACAAAACTCTAATCTATAATATTAAAACGAAACAGTGTTATTTTTTTTCACGATTCTGAATCAACCACTCGACGGATTTTCATGATGTTTGTGTTGAAAGAAAGATAATTTTGAGAACTAGGGAATGTCGAAGCCATAATTTTAGTTTAGGGTCCCAGTTTTTTAGAAATTAAGTTTTAATCTTTAAAAAGTCTAGCAGCCGACGCTAAGATTCTAAACTAGCTTTTGGCATAAAATAATCGGTGGGGCACACGGAAGATTTCTCAGGTGCCGTTTGACGTCACTCTGCTGACGTCACTAACTGCTGCGTCTGAAGAAACAGACAATTTTATAATTTTCTATTATTAAATTAAACTGTCATAACCTAACCAAACTAACCAAACGTGCTGATAATGGAAAAATTGAATAAAGGTTCTAACTAACTAATCTAAAAAATAGTTTTGTTCATAAAATATAATTATAATTGCCTAAAATTCAATTTTATAATTTTTTAATTATAAAATTATTTTGTCATAACCTAACCAAACCAACCAAACTTGCTGATATGAAAAAAATGTTGATAAAAAGTTTGTGCCGCCGGCGGGATTCGAACCCGGAACATTCGGATTATCAGCCCGCAACGCTATCCACTGCACCACCGAGGCCGATGGCCCTAACCGTATCGTTGCGGTATTGGTGTTCCCTCAAAGTGACGTCAGCAGTTAGTGACGTCAAACGGCACCTGAGAAATCTTCCGTGTGCCGTTTCGTAAAATAATTTGCTTAACATAACAGCTGTAAACATTCAGCTTTTGTGTCACAAATTCAGCATTTGGATAAAAATGTAAAGACATACTTAGGGTTGACTTATTTATACTATGTGTAATGCTAATCATTGATACGTTCAATTCTTCTGTAAGAGGATGACAGATTAATTTAATATACATAGTAAAATACTAGGATGTTCAAATTATTTTTTAAAGCAATCTTTGTAATCTTCGATTTGTTTCAGAGCAATATAATTTGTTCTAACTAACAGCTGGTTAGTTATAAAAATGCCCTATAACACTATGAGGTTATTTACTCGGATTTTGTCATTGATTATAGAAAATAAGTAAGATTAGTAGACCACCGAGATAAGTAACACCATCGATGTGTACAAGTCGAGGTTTTGTACACGAGTTAAATAAAAAAGATATGCAGATTATTTTACTGCTCAACTTTTTTGGAAAGGTTAGAAAAATCACAATTTTTACATGTTTGTTTTAATTCATCTTGGCAGCTTTTTGTTTACAATCAATGTTTTTGAATGCTTGAACTTTGTTTGGATTAGGCCCGGAAATATTGATGACATAAAGATGGAGATCAAGAATTCTCAGGAATACGATTTTAAATTACCACCACAACCTCAGACGGGTGTTATCCAAAGATATACAGATGAATGACATAGATTGAACACAACGTCATCATTGACCTAGGATACTGCAATTAGAGTAACCATCCTTTTATGAAATCTAAAAAAGTTGTTTGGCGTGTGTTTAGTTGTGGTTACGTTTGGAGGCGCTGAATATTTTATAGAGTAAATAAATGAATATGGGGAATTACGATGTACATTGATTCAATGAGGGTGGTTTAATTATCAAGGATATTGGAACTGATAGTGGAATGGATAATAAACATAGACAATTAATTACGTCACTAGCTTTACAATCGTTTTTACTTGTTAAATTCTTTCAACATATGACCAGTTCTTTTGTTCAAATGAATATTATTTTTGACTCAGCTGTTTACAAAACAAACTAATATGTTGTTGTTTTTACTTTTCTTTGTTTACACTTATTTATTTAGCAATTGATGCAGTGAAATTGACATAAAGGATGTGTGTGGACGATTCGTTTAATGATGTCAGGACACCAACGTTATAGTTATGTGTACTGTGAATTTTATTGGATGTTTTAGTTTTATTTTAGGCAGTTTCAATTCAGACCTACTGGAAATTGAGTATAGTATGAGTAATTGTATTGTGGTGATATTGATTATGGAAGAGGTAGGTATGCGATGGAAGGTGATATCATTGACTAGGCCTATACACTTCTCAATTGATAATTACTCTTTCTACTGTAGGCTGCAATAAAATTTGTCTTTATACGTGTAAACTAGCTGTTCTGAATTATAGGCCTACACCGTTTTAACTGACTACTCCCGTACGTAGGACGGGCTAACACCTCGTTTTATTTAAATAGATTTGTAAAACCAAAAGTAACGATCAGCTGATGTTAAAAATACATTCCCTATCCTGAAGTGTACCATTTTATCCTTTTACATTACCTTCAAATTGATCCGTTATTTCCCAACCAGCTTTGACAAATATCATAAAATATGTTTATGTTTTATTTTTTTGTCAATTAATTCCTTGTGTAAACAACTAGACTTTTAGGCCAATGCAAAACTCCAGATAGTGTATACGGCCAAGGGATTAGGCTACTTCCTATTACTAGAGGGGAATTGATAATGAAATAATTAATTAATATATTGATCAACCAGTGGCAGGCTTTTTATCAACATTTAATTGCATTGTATTTTTGCCTCTAGTAATCAGAAAATAACCTCCTTCAATGATATGTATTAAATTTCTCGATCTGCCCTCATGCATACGCCGTTAGCTGTTACTGTATGTGAAAGTGAAAGTTGGTCAACCATTTATATCATTGTCTGGAATAAATCAAATGCTTAAGGGTCAAACTTTTGAAGCCCTTTATCAAATATCGTTTTAATTACCATTTTACGTTGCGCTGGATCTTAAGATTTAAAATTACACCTCAATCATAAAAATCGGTGAAGTAGTTTGGGTGAAAAAGGGCTGTTACAGCTTATTTCAATAGGAAGATAGATAAATGTTAAACAAGACAATGACATATCACATGCTTAATACTAGATATTAGAGGGTAATGATTAACTGAAGAGCCGTTGATTTACATAAAGCAATTAATAAAATCAATTACAACAATGAATATTGGCCGATACGTGGCAGAGCTGACCACGAGGGTAGATTTCCGGGGGTAGATGTCCGGGGGTAGATTTCCGGGGGTATATGTCCGGGGGTAGATTTCCAGTCGCGGGCAGTTCCTCGACCGTGTATAGGCCCCGCCCCTCGTGACTTCAAAATGACGTAGGCGTTTTTTCATAGGGGTAAATATCCGGGGGTAGAAATCCGCTACCCCACAGTACTAATTAACGTTACCCTATTACTTATTATTAGTGGAAGACGATTACCGGTGACACGAAAACTGCAAGATATGCTCCAGTCCTGATATCGTACCTTTTGGCCGTTCTGACCATGGCCTAGTCCTGTCATGGTCGGATATGAGGGGTTCTACTGTACTTAAAATCAAAACTCCTTAAATAAATATGGTTTTTTTGTCAACAGAACTGTGGGCAAGTACTTGGTCTGGAAATTAATGAAAAAGCAGTAGAAGATGCTCAAAAGAACGCAAGTGAAAACAACATTACCAATTGTGAATTCTTTTGTGGACCAGCTGAGGAAATTCTTCAGTCGGTCTTGGACAGAGCAAAGTTCCCTGATGTGGTGGCAGTAGTGGATCCACCTCGAGCTGGCCTCCGTAAGTTAACTCTCATACTGAAGTTTATTCTCATTGAGTAAACGATCATGTTATTTAACCACCATCGTTAAATTTGTGGACAGATTTTTAAACTCAATGAATTTAAAACTCCTTACTTAAAACAAAGAAACCCCCTGGAGATAATTTAGATAAAAAATAAACTATCTGCCATCTATTATTCTTTCCGTTTAATTAATCTGCGTGCATAATTAACACATTCAACCAATTTCTGATGTAAAGCTTTTTCTATGATTCTGTTTGATGTAGATATCTTGTTCCATTTGAAAGTAGGCGTACTGAGTTCTTTGGTGTTATTTTATGGGCTTATCTCACCCTTATTTTGTTTCTGGTGATATCCTGGACTTGTCAAATTCACTGAAAATACACACACACATTCACAATAGTCCTGGATAATCAAGTCCGACGTATTGCAAAACTTGAAAAATTGCCCGCTTCCTCAGGGTAGGGGAACTTAAAGAGTTGAAAGTGATGAGAATAAGGCAATTAAGGTGCATGGGGTGTATGGCTGAGTCAAGGTGTATAAGAGAAGGTGTGTACATCCCCCCACTTTCTGTGACGTGGTGTGTGAGTCTTGCCAACCTACCGTCTATACGCCAAACCCTTAAACTGCCACACTTTTCCCACTGTATGATGTTTTTAAGGTTGTAAATGTTCAACCAACACATATTGGTACAGTATACTCCCTCTTATCCGGACTCCTTGGGACCGAGACCAGTCTGGATAACAAGTTTTCCGGTTGAACCGACGTCCCCAAAAACTCGCTAAAACGGACCATTTAAATGCATACTGTATACAGCATTTGACTTAAATTTAGGAGAGCATTGTATTTAGACAGTGATCACTGGTCTCAAATCTTTCAAACAAGAACAGTCGTTTCAGTACCACCCACTTCCTGCCGATCTAGTACGGTTAAACTGATGTTCGGATAAAAATTGTCTGGTTAAAGAGATGTCATTTCTGCCGAGTGTAGTTCGGTTAAACCAATATCTGGATAAAAGGTGTCCGGATAAGAGAGAGTCTACTGTATTTTAAACTTTATTATAGTGTATTTTATTATAATTATTTGTTGAATTTAAATATGTAGATGTCCAGATTGTACCTCTAAAATTGTTGGCATTTTAGGTTTCATGAATTACAATTTTGCCGATGAAAATGAAAATGTATGTATTTGTGTTCTTAATTTATTAAAATGGTTAATTTAATAATTTTAATTGGTACAGGGTGTCCACATTCTGGAAAGTCAGGGATAGTCATGAAAATAGGCAAAAGGTCATGGAAAGTCATGGAAATCCCATATAATGGATGGATTTGAGGGGACCATTCAATGCTCTAGTTGGCCGTAACCCCTACTATTGTAGCATTTTTCAGGATTTTTCAAAAATGTTTGATGATTCAATTTATTACAGTTGTATTAGTTTATGAGTTTTGAGTTTGTATTAGTTCATAGTTGTACCTATTGTACTCCATTGTTATCTGTTAATACATATTTCAGTATTTTCTGTGAAATAACTTGTCTAGGCAGTATTATTCGCGTGTGTACGTTACATTATAATTTTCGAGTAAAGTTCGTGAGTCATGGAAATCAATGGTAAATGGTCATGGAAAGTCATGGAAATTAATGACAAATTTTCTGTGGACACCCTGTTGGAAGTTGACCTTTAGCGGATTCAGCGCCCCAAAAAACATACATTTTTGAAAAAATTCCTCGGACGCTATTTTTGTCCACGTATGGGTTATTTTTACAACGGATTGATTGACTGGACTACTTTACATTTCTGAATCTCTTGCATTTAATTTAATTTACATTTGATTTAGTGTCTTGTTTTAGTAATTTTTCAAATTTGTTCAGATAGCTGTTTTACATTTGTCGTAACATGTTAAAAAATTAGGTTTTTAAAGACTCAAGTAACAATATATACCAATATTGGTTTCATTTACAATAATTACTATTTGTTCACTTTAGTTTGGAAACAAATATTTTTAAAAACCACTGCAACAAACAGTGCTAGGCTACTTACAGAAAAAGTACTGGTGGATATGTATAAGTAAATTTATTTAGAAGAAAAATTAACCCCCTTACCCTACCAAAAAGGATTTATAATGTGCAATAAATCGCTCAAACTTCTGCATGAGGATTTAAAGATCGAACTGGTCATCATATTACATTAGGAACAATAAAACAGAACCTTTTCTGTAGATCTCTTTAATTGCTAAATCATCTTTATTTCGCACAGAAAAAAGTGTATAATAGTGTCACAAGAATATATAATAAAACTAAATTCTAAATGCTGTTAGAACTAAAATGTAACTGAACAGTATCTTAATTTGATCGGCAACCTTACAAATCTTTCACAGTGTAGGGAGCTCAGGAACTAAAAGTATGCGTTTGACCGCACTCCCAAATTTGTCTTTGTCTTGCTCCACTTTCAGGGGTTCAGGCAACACTTTGAAAAACCTAATACTATTATAAAAGAGATGTCTCTCAAAGAACCTAGTCCTATGCTTAGGTACCTTAATATTGTTTTTGTGTCTGAAAGTGTACTGGATTGAATGGAACTGCGGTTGATACAGATGATAATTTCTTTTAAAAAACGATAGATAACTCAGTATGTATATGGATGGAAATGTAAGAATATTGTATTCCTTGAAGAGAGGATTTCAAGAACTACGACGGGATATTCTAGAGGCTGCTCTTAGGGGTTTTTTCTGAAGACGGAAGACAAACTTTGTTTGTACGCTCTCACAGCCCCAAACTGCCACCAAATACGACAATAATGGGTAAATAAGTCCATAATAGGCACTCAAGGTTACACGAGAATCGGTAAACTTCGAAAGACCTCTAATAAAAAAATTTCCTGTGCTAATTCTTCTGACAAGAATGATTCAACTTGATTGTCTGTGTCGAGGGTTGAGGGTCTATTTTCCCTTTATAAACCCAAACTGGTGGGAAGACAAGATATTATTTTCCTCAAAAAATGACAAGAGTTTGTTCAGAAAAAGTTGTTCGAAAACTTTGGAGAAAGTTGAAATTAAGGAAATTGACCGATAGTTGCTACAATCATATTTGCTTCAATCTTATGAATGGGCCTGACAATGGTATGTTTTAGGGAAGATGGAAAGCATCCTTCTTCAAAACAACAATTTATCAGATGGACCAATGGAGCAAAAACTATATCATATGTTTCTCTAAGAAGTCAAGAAGAAATTTCATCTGTCCCACTCAATGGCTTTGGTTTGAGTGAAAGTATGACTTCTTCTACCTCAGGTTTAGTGACAGGGGACAAAAGTAGAGAATTGGGTACAAAATTAAGAGACTCTGACAACGACTTCACCCTATCTATACAGTCACTTTCAGTGTGGAATTCAGTTCCAATATCAGAGAAGAATTTATTAAAGATTCCAGCGACTGTCCCTGGATCTCCTACTGTACCGCCATCTTTGTCAACCACTGAAATTTCGAAGTTGTCCTTCAATTTAGGACCTTTGGTGTCATTTATGGTTCCCCATATTGTCTTTGATTTGTTCGATGACTCAGATATCTTACTAAGGATTTTGTCTCATTTTGCTTTACGGACAGCCATTTTGAAGTTTCTTTTCATGTCTCTGTACTTTAAGCGAATAGGGTGTGACGAATCAAGATCCTTTGACAATGTGTAAAGAAACTGCAGTTACTTTTTAAGGTTCAATATCTCTGGTGTATTTGAAGACTTACGACGGTGGACTTTCGTTATAGGAAAGGATGTATCAAATAAGTATTTTATGGTTTGAAGAAATTCACTAAATTTTGATCTGTATTCTGTTGATCTAGCATGCCAGTCCAGGTTTCCTTATTTAAATGATGCCTAAAAAAACATATTTAAAAATATTTTCAAAATTAAATTTACAACATTGAATAAACATAGGTTCAGATGGTGGAGTTGAAGGAGTTAGATTAATTACGGCTTCTTGGCCATGGTGATTTGACAAGGCGGCCTTAAAAACCCTACAACTAATTAGCTGGGAATCCATGTTTGTGAAGATGTTGTCAATGACCGTCTTAGAGTTCTTAAACTCCCTTGTATATGAGGATATTTTATGAATATACAAGACAAAAATTAAGAAGCTAAAATAAGCTAAAACTAACAAGCTAAAATTAAGAAACTGTGCCAGAAAACACTGCTGAACCCAGCAACAAAGAAGTTGTTTGGAAGTGAAAAACGAAAATGAATTAAATATGATATTAGGAGAAGGGTTGAAGTAGGTAGGCCTACTCGTGCTTTTAACACGTTGATGTGGACATTGACAGCTTAATAATTTGCCAATGGTGATGAACCATGTGTCCTGTGATTAACACGAGGGACTGGCGAGTCGGCGTGGACTCAGTGCGTCTTCAGTGGCTTTGGATCCATCAACGACGTGGGACTCAGCAACACTTCAATAGCTGTGGTAGCATGGAACTTACCTAAATTGACGACCAACCCACGAAACTGGGTTCAGCAACTCGTTGGCGGAAGTGGTTGAGTGTTGAACCACCCTGGTGTGATGGAATACTACACAGAGTGCAGTCAGTGAGCCAACGATGCTCAAGCAGCTGGGGTTATGTGATAAACCAACCAGGGAAACTCACGTTGCACTGTTGGACAGCTTCGGTTCTTTGAAACCCAATGACTATAAACATGGGGGTGGCAAATAATAAGAGACAGCCATCACGCAGTTCATTGCAGTGGGAGGGGCAGTGCCATGGGTCAGTGTGATCAACCAGACACACAGTACTACGGTGAAGACTGAGGTTAACTGGCTGTAGCACGGTTTGGGGTATAAAGAAAACCTAGCCTACAGCAAAGAGAGCTGAGGTAAAATGAATCTCAGCCTGTTTAGTAGCTGAGACAGGTAGGTTTGCATCTCTAGCTACAGTGGCAGTCAGAGTGAGGAGAACCCTCTAGAGTACAGTGACGGGTCTGTATGATAAACTGAATTCCCCTTGTCCTACATGCGAGCAA